AGGACCTTTATCAATCATTGAGGCATCAACTACAGTTTGCATTACATTCTCATTGTTTTCATTAGCAATGTGTTTTCCTCCTTCAATTTGCAACACCTGCTGACCAACTACTGCTTCTTTTGCTGCTTCAACTCCTTGTTTTCCATCTTTTTCTGGTACATCCTTGGTTATTTGCCCAACTCTTTTAGCGTTTAAGTATTCCCTTGCATCCCTTTGTATCTTGTTAATAGCAAACACCTCCTTACCAGGTAGATTACTGTGTAAAAAATTCTCCTCTGCCACCACCTCTGTTCCAGCTTTTTCTTTCTTAATTCTACACGCCTTTTCATCATGTCCTTGATGCTTGCAAAACGTACAATACTTAGGAAGGTTGTCATAAACTATCTCTTGATAGAACACGACAGATTTACCTATAACTCGATCTAAAATCTGCATCCTGACCTTTTTAGGATGTTTATCTAATAGATCAAGAATAACCTTGACCCTAGCAGCACTAGGTCACGTTCTTTCTTGCGTTGCCTTATCCACAACAATAGCCTTACCAACATCAGAAGCAATAGACATTACCGACCTCTTAGCGAAGAAGTTAGGCGGCAAACCTGGAAAGGAGATCCACGCGACTGCCATGGACGTTTCTTCTTTGGGATTATAGCTTAGTGTCCATGGAAACGTTCTAAAAAATAATTCCTCTCCTTTTGATTTCATATAACCAGTTGTCCTTGACAAGAACTTAACAAAATCATCATATAAATCAAAACGAACCAGCAGGTGACGATATTCCAACAGGCCAATATTACATCGACCTTGAATTTCGAATTGCACTGGGAGATTCTTTCTAATCTCTTGTAATTTTGGTTTTCCATATGAAAACTTCACCACTACTGCCTGATGCAGTCCTTCTTCTCTAATAAATTCATTGACCTGGTCCCTGGTGAACTCGATCGTTAGCTCCCTATAAACGACTGCTACTGGAACTAAATCGATCTTGGACGGGGCAGATTGTTTTGGTTGAAGCTGGGCTGCATACGATGGTTTGTGAATGTAATTTGTTGGATGTTCAGTAGTGTTTTGTATATCCTCTCCCACAGCCAAAGGCTGAGGAGAGGTTGCAGCAGCCATGAATTACTTCAAATCTCCATTGTAAGCGGGAAAATGTAAATGAAGAAATCTGCGTGCTACAGTAGTTTCGTGAAATAAGAATTAAGATCTTTACCAATTGGTTATAGATTAGAGGATGAAATCAATTGGGGTTTGTGCGCAATGAGAAGATGTTTCTTTTGACACCAAGTTTTCGACAATCCACCACCGGATGCCGGAGTTATGACCCGATGAATAGTGACGGAATTACTATTCACCTTCTTCCTAGAGAGAATGATTTTTTTTTAAAAACCTTACGGCCGTGGAAGTTCAAGCACTGAGACGACCAATTTTTCGTTGTCAGCGGAACCTCCATAGGGGCATTTTGTTCAATAATTTTAGCTGTATATAAATAGATCTTTTTTTAGAATTTTAGGTTATCTTTTGTGTTGTGAAGCTTGTGAGCAGCTGTATTTTACTACTTAGAGTAATTTTAGAACATCTTTAGTTATTAATCTGAGATTTGCTTCTTGTAATTGACTTTTATGGCATATATTTCATCATCATCCTTGATTTCTACCTTTATTATGAGTAGCTAAACCCATTAGCTAGGGTTGTGACCCAACCCTAGTGTGGGTATTTAATGGGTCTTCTATTTTAGCGTTTAATTGTTTATGGGTTAGTGATATTTATCTTGTTTCATGCTTTAATTGTAGAATTGGTGGTTGCAAACACTGATTCATGCCTTTATGACTTAGACTCTTCTTGAGAAAGAGGAACTAAGGTCTAGGAATTCACTAACAAGGAATTGGGGTGCACTCAGAGATTGATTGCCCCAAAGAGTTAAACCTAGAGATAGTAATACCTGACTTGAGCTAATTTTACTTGTATTGTTTGAACATCCAATTAGGCTCGAAAAAGCCAATTAGGGCAAAGTCTCTCAAACAACCGAGAGGTATAGAGTAGTAATTATATGTAATGGTTATATAACGACCCCATATATAACAAGCTTGTCCTAAATTTTAGATCCCATTAGATACTCACCTAAGTGTAAGTCACTTCCCTAGTGTCTTTTATCACTTGAGAAAACCCTTCCAAAAATATTGTACTTAGGTTCTTTTCAGCATTCATTAGCATTAAATTAGAATAGTAACAAACCCAAACATGTTTAGAAGTGCAATTAAAGACAACACATGGAGCTAGATTGGATAGAAACCCAACTCCAAACCAATATTAACTCTTTGAGGATTCGATCCTGACCTTTCCGGTAAAAGCTGCATCGACCACTCTTACCATTATATAGTGGTATAGGGTTGGAATCGATCAATATTTGGCGCTGCTGCCGGGGAGTTAAATGGTTTTCGACTAACTATTTGACTAGTTGCGTGATTTGTTTTTCTTTCCTTCTATTTTACTAACTTGTGTAAGTTAATCGATTCAGGTACAAAATGGCAAACAATGATCCTATCGTAAATGTTATCCCACGGGAGGAGGTAGATGATAATAGTGACGATGAGGTGCCTCTAGTACCTCAAGGTCAAAGAAGAGGCCGCCAGGCCAATGAAAACATTCCAGACCCTCCCCCAACTCCTCTATGAGTGGCTCCTGGGTGCTTCCAAATGAAAGGTACACAAGAGCAATTATCCCACCTAGGATCTGGGCGGGCAATTTCCAGATTACAAATGTCATGCTGATCTTATTGGAGCAAAGAGGGTACTTCACAGGTGCTCCCCATCAGAATACATATAAACATCTAAAGGGATTTGTGGATACCTTCTGGGGTAGCAAGTAAATAAATATGTTAGAGGATACATTGAGATTGAGATTGTTCCCTTTCTCACTTAGAGGGAAAGCTTTGGACTGGCTCGAAAGACTCCCCAACCATTCCATCACTACGTGGGATGAGTTGACCGACAAGTTTATAACCATGTTTTTCTCACCAGGATATATGGCTGCATTAAGAGATGAGATCTTAGCATTTAAACAGGAACCAAATGAACCCATTCATGAAATCTGGGATAGATATAGAACTATGTTCAAGGAATGCCCCAACAATGATATGACTAAAGCAATGATCCAACAAACGTTTTATCGGGGTATAAACACGACCAATTAATGTGTGGTAAACCAGTTAGCAGAGGGTAATTTTATGAAGCTATATTATGCTGAGGCCTGCGAGATTCTTGATGAGATGGCTGCCACTTAATTAGCCGGGCAGAGTCGGGTGAATGTTCCTCAGGGGGATCCTCATGTCATAAATCTTCATAAGGAACTTCAGGACCACGGACAAGCCATAACTGAGTTGACAACAAACATGAACCAGTTAGCCAAAGCACAACTTCAGCAGATTCAGGGACCAAAGCAAGTACACGCAATGGAAGGAGTTAATCTTTTGGTAAACAAAAGGAGACAGTCTGGTCAACAAGTATAAAATAATCAAGATCAGTTTGATCAAGGTGGTAGTGGTTACAACCAAGATGATGGTTCTTGTGAGAAAAGTGAAGAGGTTTTGTATGCCAACAACTATCAAATGGTCGTATGGCAGCACTTACATTCTGGTGGCCATTGATTATGTTTCCAAGTCGGTTGAGGCCGTAGATTTGCCCAACAATGAAGCCTAGAGTGTGGTGGCATTTCTCAAGAAAAATGTATTCACACGATTTGGCACTCCTTGGGCGATCATAAGTGATGGGAGTTCTCATTTTTGCAATAAGGCATTTGACACTATGCTTGCAAAGTATAGTGTCAATCACAAGGTATCAACCTCTTATCATCCTCAGGCTATTGGACAAGTTGAGGTCTCCAACAGGGAGATAAAGAGCATATTATCAGAAACTATCAATGCAAATAGGACTAACCAGTCAAGGAAATTGGATGATGCTTTGTAGGCTTACAAGACTGCTTATAAGACTTCAATTGGTATGTATCCATACCGGTTGGTATTTCAGAAGGCGTTCCATCTTCCGGTTGAGTTAGAACACAAGGCCATATGGGTGCTGAAGAGGTTAAATCTTGAGTGGGATGTTGTAGTAAATCTCCGGGTAGAGCAACTCAATGAACTTGATGAGTTCCAGTTTCATGCCTATTCCAGCTCGTCCTTGTATAAGGACAAGATGAATTTCTTACATGACAAATATACACGGAGGAAGGAATTCAAGGAGGGTGACTTGGTTCTCTTATTCAACTCTCGGTTACGACTGTTTCTGAGAAAGCTCAATTCAAAATGGAGTGGCCCTTTTGAAGTGGTACATGTGACTCCATTTGATGCCCTTGATTTGAAGAATAAAATGGTGAAATTTTCAAATTGAATGGGCACCGAGTCAAACGTTACCTGGGAAAATATGATGACAACCACGTGGTGGCAATGATTCATCTCAAATGATTGATGGTAACCTGCGTCGTGTCGTGACGTTAAATCAGGCGTTTCTTGGGAGGCAACCCATGTGTTTTTTATTTTCTTCTTAGTGTAGGATTTGTTTTCAACTAATTGGTTTTGAGATGTGTGTAGGAATGTTTGATGCAGTGCAGGACAATACTAGAACATTTGACTAATCTGTAACTGGACCGCTGACCCGCGCTCAAAATTCTGCGGTGAGCGGAAGCATTTCATGGGGGCAAAATTTGGAAGCGGATACGGACTTGAAAATTCCAAAATAAGACTTCTCTGGAGTTTCATAACCATTATAATAGACCATTTATTGCAACGGTTATAACTGTTACAGTAGGGTATAGATCTTCTTGAGACACTTTTGTTACTAAACCGTTACAGTAGTATTGGAACCGTTCCATTAGTATTTTCTATTACCACGGTTTTCAAAAACCGTCATAGTAGATAGATTTACGGGAACAGTTATCTAAAAATAAAATCTATTGGGACAGTTCAGATTCCCTCCTTATTTTCCCCCTTTTATTTTTTGCTGAACCCTAACCTTTTGAGTGCGCTTTTGTTTTCTTTTTAATTGCTAATATTTCTTAGCGTAATGAGAGACACAGTATTACTTTGAGACCTTCTATTGCTAAGTCCAAATTGATAGTTGAATCCAAAGCATATCATCTTGATATAGCACTCCTAAAGAAGAATCCATCGTCTTTAAGCGACAATATGGAGGTTTATTTTGCGTATGGAGGTCGCAAATCTAGACTTTAAAGAACATATCTTTTTTTTTTCTACCCGCTAGGTCTCATTTCACCAGTGAAGGTCGCCGATCTGAGTTCCCAAAGAACTCATTATTTTCTTCTACAACTAGGTCTATTATCGAGCAAAACCAAACGCATTTCACATTTAGTTCCTTTCGGGTTAGTGATTTTCATATTTACTGCAGTTTTATTTTTTGGGTTTTGAGAGTTTCTTCTAATTTTTTCAATTTTATTTCATCAAAATAGTGAGTAGACTTACTGGATTATCTCTTCCCATTGTGAATACCTAATTTTCTGCGAGTGGGTTGTTTGTTTGGTTGTATGATAAAATTATACTTACTCAAAATATGCCATGCACATTAACTATTGGATAAAATATCGACCCATTAGCGGTAGACTCAAAATCTATTTGTTACTTGAATATATCAAGATTTACAAATATCTATATGTAAGCCTGAATGTAACATTGGTTCTCTGTTCTCTTTATATGAATATTAGTTGACCAAATAAGACATTATCAATTATAGTTCATTTGGAAGTTGTACACTTTTTAGTCTTTAAATTATCCAATTCGTGGCTATATAATCTTTACATTGGGAAAAATCAAAATAGTAGTTCCGTTATTGGAAATGGAATATGTCATTAGTCATCTAGAAATACAAATTAGAATTGCATATTGCAATTGCTACTGAAGGTTTAAAGATTTGTCAAAATCGAAGTTTACTTTGATGCTTTTTTAAACTTTGAAAGATTGAAAATTTTACACTTATTATGAGTATATGGCAAAGAGAAAAGACGAGTTCTGTTTATTGGGGTTATGTCTAATCGTTTAACTTTATTTTTCTCAGATTTGTACAAGGAGGCTTGAAATAGTCCTTGTTATCTATTGGTAGGATCATTTCTTTTGTGTTAGACTAAAAACTTATATTCCATTTATTTAGTTCTAGGGGTACTGCTAAGAGTTAGATTTGATTAATTCCAGAAAAGCTTAGTTACGGCTACTACGACTTTATCCAATCTATTTATTCATTTTCTCACATTACTTTGCTGAGTTGACGACATGAAAAAGTCATCTTTAACAAAAGAAATAGGATGTTGCCATGCCTTCCCTTAAGACTTGCAATAGCTTCCATTCTCACCCTCTTTCAATGCAGGAGAAGTTGAGGTAGTTTCGCCAGGCCTGACTGTGATTTCCATTTGCCATACCGATTTATGACTAGTATGCGTTTTCCTTCAAGTATGTGCTTACAATTGCAAATTTATGGTGAATCTGCGGTTATAGGAATCTGATGTCATAAGAGATGCAAGAGTGCTAATGCATACGTGTGCTCTTCAACTTTTGAAGATTACACAACTTACAAGATATTCACCTATCTACTAGAATGATAGTACCTATTGGCTGCTATATTGTAGTGACCTAGAAATGATGTGATTTACCTTTTTACTTCAACCATATAAGTTTGATTGAGCTTAGATATCTTCTCATATCATATTTGGTTTTCTGATTTGTAATCGATTTGTCAGGAATGACCTGTCAATTCTAGTTCAAAGGAGATTTTCTTGTTCCTAAATCCTAGTTACAGTTATGTGGAGCCTAATAAAAAGTAATACTGAAAGGAGCATTTTGTGGACATTATGGTCGGGGACTTACTTTTTGTTGTTTCTTGAGGTGCACTAGGTGGACGAAGAACGCAAAAATTTAGTGAACGCACAACGTGCTCTTAGGAAATGGCATGACTCAAATAGTTGTTGGCCTACTGCTCGCTGCACCGAGAAGCATAACTTATTAGTTGTTTCTATGAAGACCACTATGTTTAGTGTCATCAGCTACATCCCGCAAATAGCTGTTAAAGAAATCTCCAGGGCATATAAAAGAGGTTTGGTCACTGCAGAAAAAGGAGGAAGATGCTTCTGATTTAAGGTGAATGAAGGAGTTTGGAATGATTACGTATAGTTGTTGCGGTCCCAATGAACTGGTGTGCTCAGACTTTTAACTTCCTAAAAAATTTTAGTACTACTTTGTGACTTGGTAACTCTTTTATGAAGATTAGTAATCCAAATTTCACAAAAATATGGTAAATATTAAGTCTGGTTTCTAACTTTTAGTTCTTTCTATACTTTTGTGTACAACATCATAAATAACAGTGGAATCAGATGCTATCGAATTTCTGCTAAGATTTTTTGATAGCAAACAGTCACAACCAATAGTACAAGAATCTGCAGCTAAGGGTATTTTACAGAGGTTACCTACTGGCCATTTGCATAATTTTGGATTCAAGATTATCTCGAATGTACTATACTGCTATATTCTTAGTTATTTCAATTCTGGGTCTATGTATAGTTTGTAAGTTCATCCCTAGAAATCTTCCATTGACATCTTTGGTGCTATTTGAAAACCACTACACTAAAATTCTTAATTTTTGATGTTTATTAATTTACTTGATATTGAGCCTCCAGGAATTATGAAAAGTACCTATATTCCTATGGTAATAATGAAGGAATATAGTACCTCACAGCAGTGCTATAGTTTCCCATCTCTTTCTTCTTTAACTTTAGGTTTTGGATAAAATAGATTGTTCATAACGAACATACATGCATATGTATAGTAGTGATAAGTTTAAATTTTCAGCTAAAGCTAATAGCCAGTATAGATGCATATGCTATTAAAAATTTACAGAGCCATAATTTACAATTTAGAGGGAATAATTGTGTTGTTACGTTATCCATTTTTTACTTATTTTACTTTTCTACTTTGACTTTACGTTGTCGGGCAAGTTGAATCATAGAATTTTAACAGGAATTGAATTCAACTCCTTGCAAAGCTATTGCATTATCTTGTTAAAACTGTTCTTTTTATTCTAAATTGTGATAAGAATATTCTAAGTTTAATCACTAGAAATTACTTATTGAAACTAATTGATGGATATGAATACGCAAAGTTGGATATGAAACTATGTGAGTTTGTTTATGATTTATTTCTATGTAATATAATCTGATAAAGATTATTCTTTTTTATGGTTTTGTAGGTAAAACAAATAACCAACAGGTTGATGAAAGCCATGAAGACCTTACTTATGAATATTGGTTGATCATTCCTAGACATTCAAATGTTTTAGGAATCTTTTAATTCAGAACTCTTAGAAACTTCATACTAAACTCTTCAATTGTCAAACAATATCGTATTTTTTGTTTTTATAAATGGATAATGCTTGTTGTATTTTTCGGATTGTGAGTTTGTATCTTTTTCAATTTATTTTAATTTTAGTATTTACGATATTCTATTTAGGTAAATTAATATTGTAATGGAGCACCAAAATAACTGTTGCAATAACCTAAAATTACCATTGCAATAGCCAAAAAATCATTGCCATAGATCAGAAACCCATTACAATAACCTACACAACCGTTGCAAAAGATTATATTGAAATGCTTAATAACCATTCCAACCGTTGCAATAGACCTACTGCAATGCGATCTGGCGAAACGGTTCATTAACTGTTGCAATAGGCCTATGGCAACGGCTTTGGTGCCTATTGCAACAGATTTGGAACCGTTCCAATAGGCCTATATTCTAGTAGCCCATCCGCGTCCGCGGTGGCTTTTCGCGGTTAGAGAACGTATTTTGTGGCCGCACCTATTTTTCCGCTCTCAGCAGTGGTGTTGCATAGACAACTCTTCAGCCTAGGTAAAATCGCAGACCACAGTGAAATTTCTCAGGCCGCGCAAGGTAAGACTTGTGGGCCCCTGTGCTATTTAGTATAAATAGAAAGTTCTGAGACATTTTACCCTTTTCGCTCCTTGAGATCTCACAAGAATTTTTCTACTCTTCATCTGCCCTAAATCTGAGCCCATTTGCATCACTCTGATTAGAATTTAATTTCTAACACCAATCAAACTACTGGTATGTTCAAATCATATCATTTCTTCTATAATTTTATTTTTCTTTTCTATTAGTTTAACTTTTTTCTATTTTCTTTTAGTTTCAATTAGGGTTATGTAATTTTTAATTAGTTGTTTCACAAATCCATGAAGCTACTTGTTGTGCATGCCTAAGAGGGGTGATTAATGTCCATAATACCCGTTAAACTACTAGAGAATGTGAAACCCTACGATTGCCCCTTTTTGAATTTCGCGGCCGCAGATGCAATTCCGCAGTCAGCGTTCTTATGAAATCCTATGCTGCAATTGGTTTAAATTACGCTCTCAGTGGTGGAAAGTCCGCTGTCAGCGGACCTGTTTATGCGGCTGCGCTTCATTTTTTGCGGTTAGCGAAATTAAAGTTTAGAAAAGTTTCAAATTGGGTCTGCGACCGCGTTTGTTTTTCCATAGACAGCGGTTCAACTTCCACAGTCAAGCCCAAAATTCTGCTCTCAGTGGTTGTTCAACTTTAGAGGTTGGGTAGTATGAATCCCAGACCTCCATGGCCGCACCCAAAATTCCTCTCTCAGCGTTACCAAGTCCGTGACAATGCTTCTTTTTCGGCTGTCAGCGAATATGAGACTTTAAAACACTATCAATTTTTCATCTGTTTTTCTTTCCTGCTTCTTTTAGAACCAATACCAATGATCTTTCACTGATTGTGTATGCAAACAATGGTCAAATCTAGAGGCGAAAGTGAGAAACAAAAAGGGAAAGCAGAGTCCTCTCGGGGTAGGGGACGACGACATATCAAGTGATCCCTAGCAGTGCGACAATCCATTGGGAAAATGTGGAAGGATATCAAAGCTGCAGACAGAGCCACATCCCATTCCAAGGGTAGTGACTATGTCCCTTCCCGGGAAGCCTCAGAGGGTGATTATGTGCCTATTCATGTCCCGGACTTCCCAGGGAGGTTTCAGTAGAGAGACGTGCCTACACCCCAAGCTTCACCTACTTCTCCTGCTTCTTAGGGTCGTCTGATGGCTCAGAGGAGAGTAGTGAGTCTTCAGCATCAGCCTCTCCACCTAGATAGGAGCCAATTGATGTAGATGCCAATATACCGGATGACATGAGAGGGGTGATACCTATACTGGAGGGTTGGAGAGAACGAGGAACCAGATGGTGTGGCATGAAAGATTCGTCAGTGAGAAAGCCTACCACAAATTTCGGGAGTGGTTGCCTCAAAGGTCACTCACACATGAGAGGTATTTTGTAGAAAAAGAACTTCTACCCCACAACCCCAATGTGAAGAGGCAATTTGATGAAAGAGTAGGGTGGATGTTCTTTACAAGCAAGCTGCCGGACGCCAATGAGCATTTAGTGAAAGAGTTTTATGCCAATGTCACTCACGTAAAAAATGGCACATTTGTGACCAAGGTGCGGAACCTGAAGATAAAATTTTATGGTAAGACTCTAAACGACTATGCTAGGTTCAATGACGAGGACTAGCCCTTGTATTTGGAGAAGGTGGCCATGGATAAGTTGGCCCGCCCGTGGCTGGCATCAATAATTGCTCTCCCGGGGACTACTCCGATCCAACTTGGTTGTCACATGGGATCCCAATCTACCAAAACACATTAAACTTTGAGACAAAGGGTTGGGAAACGTTCGTGTGCAGCCAATTAGACCCCACTACTCATGACAGTGACATGCCGGTCTCCCAGGCGATTATAGTGGGGGACATCATGGAAGGGTACCCGATCAATGTCGGGAATATCATGTCCAGAGTGATCACCAGAGTGGTAAACAAAAATGAGAGCTCCTACCCGTTCCTGAACTTCCTCACTATGTACTTGGAGGATCAGGAAGTCGAGGGAAGGGATTTTGATACAAAGGTGAAACCCAAGAGGCCCTTCTCATGGTACAGTTTTCAGGGTCCGGGAAACCCATAGTCCAAGGGAAAAGCCTCCACTTCCACTAGCCAGTCTGAAGAGCCACGGGTGGTAGCTACTTATTTCGAGCCTCCTACTACCATACTACAGCCTCCTACCGGAACATCTACTTCTATGACTACTTCGGTGACATCTTCATAAGCTTACCCTCTCACTGCCCTGAGGGTTAACCAGATTCTATCTAGTATCAACAACTGGATGCAGGCAACTACATCAAAGCTGTTTGTCATATCTAGCATAGTGGCAGCTCAAGTAGTTCTAGCTCAACCCCAAGTGCCAACTTCCGTGGAGGAATCATTGAAGGAGCTTTTGGACAACCAGAAGTTGGTTATGGATGCTTTGGAGGCACAGGGAAAAGGAAATTACGGACCTGAGCAAGCAGACAAAGAAGATGAAAAAGACTCGGGCTTCCAAGGAGTCGGTGAAGCTGCTGAGGAAGGAGATGGACAAGATTAGATCAGCTGGGGACATTCCATTAGAGCTACTATTAGAGGATCCTTTTCCAGCAGCTTAGGCAACACATGAAGAGGAGAAGGAGGCTGATAGAGAGCCTATGAGGAGAGGGGTGATTCCCCAGATAGATGACTTGGTGATTCAGCTGGAGGACCACGAGGGAGGTGACCCAAGGACCCAGCCACTAGACCCCACTGATGTTCCGGACCCCATGCAGACAGAGGACCCATAGGGAGTTTTCTTTACTCTCTAACCCCTCCTTGATCTTATTTTTGCTATTAGCATTGAGGACAATACGAGTTTTTTGTTTTTTTTGGGGGGGGGGGGGGTCCCATTTTGATGATTTGATAACTAGATTGTAATTATGATACTGATTTTTCTTTATTGTTATTTTTCACTTTTGGTATGTATATAACTTTACCATTTATTTTTCACTTTTCGTTATTTTCAATTTCGTATGTATATAAAGTTACTTTTCCATGTATATAGTCATTCACCGTTATGTATATTCGTCTAAATCCCCTTTTGTACATATTCAGTTTACTTTCCGTATTTTACTTTATAACTTCTTTTGCAATTTTCCTTAATAACATAGATTCTTATTTCATTTAGTAGCTTCTTTTTCAATTTGTAGGCTCATACTTTTACAAGTTTTCATCATCAATAAGCCTTTGATTTTCTTAATGCCACGGTTCTTTCCAAAGGTGGAGTTTGTGTGAACCGGATGGCTCTTCCCGATGATGGATGGCATGACAACCTTTTTAAGTGTTTGAGTCTATTTTCTTTATGTTTTTGTGTTAATAGTAGTAATGAATAAAAGTTTCTCAGTCAAATCTTCACTTGGGCCTAACACATTTACCTTTGACCTTATGGTTAGAAACAAATTGATGTGTAAAGGATGGTGATAGTTGTGATCTTTAGACTCTTGTGTTGGCTAAACAATCATCGAGTCATTTTTAGGAGCCATTTGTATTGCTCAATCTTAGCTAAAGTTATTGTGGGCCCTCGAATATGTTCTCTTTAGCAATCCAATAGCTTGTGTGGTGAGGTTTTGATTTGCAAGTCCAAGTCCCGTGCCAATAAGTCTAGAACTTGCCCAGAATATTTGTCTAGGCGAAATTCTAAGTGTAGCTCGACTTGAGAAATGATTATAGTCTCTCCTTGATCTAAATTGAAAACTTTAAAGAATCCATAGCCTACCAAATATGAGATCCCTCGTCAACCCCGTTGAGCCATAACCCTTGTTCTTTCAATAACCATGATACAAGCCCTTGTCCGTCCTAAAATGATCCTCTCTTGGTACCCGATCTTTCCTTAGCACAATTGGCAAAAGCATAAGTTTGGGGGGAGAGACGGGGAATGCAAAGTGATAAAAGGTACAAAATGAAGAAAAGGGAAGGCAAAAAGAAAAAGAAAGAAAATCCAAAAGGCTAAAAAGAAAGTGAACAATATAGAAAAAGAATGGATTCAATAAAAGCAATAATGAAAGGCTTGGAATGATTAGAAAGGAGAATGATGATTGTCATGAACAAGAAAGAGTGATCATCCCCTAAGGAAAAAGAAAATGAATCAAAGCGTCAAGAAAGTGTGAGCCAAAATGAAGTGCTTAAGGAAAGATGAAACCTACATAGACCGATATATCCTACCTTGAACCAAAAGTCTTCATTACATTCCCGCAAAATCCCTATATGATTTCGAGTTGAGTGAGCTTACATTAATGGTGATTCACATGAGGGGCAAGCTTATGATAGAGCCAGACTTGTGACCTTCCTTTGAGAGAGATGAGTGTATTTTTCCACAATCCTTGTTCTAAGTGCTATAATCTAAAGTGAGATTTGCTTAAGGAGAATAGAGGAAAAGAGTTTGGGTTCCACAGTGACCTATGTAGTAGAGCGAGTTTCCTTGATGAGTTAAGTCAACTCTTGAAGCTCTT